GCATCCAGGCCATTTTAATTCTTTCCATATCACCTATTTATACCCTCCTCTTTCTTCATTTCAGTAGTTCACATTCCCAAATAAATATTCTGCCCATTTCAGTATTTTTGCTTCCTCATTTTTTCACATACTAGTTACTCAAAGTGACTTTATCCTATTTCTAAAACTATTGTTCACCTCATAATAAGAGAAGGCATTTTGGGGGGTGTCTGGGTGCTTACCTGTATTTCAGGGGTCAAAGAATTGTAAAGGGCAAGGGTATGATTTTTCAAGGCTAAGGAGCTATGGGGCCCTCCCTTTGCCTGTGTTTTAGAAATTGTATTAAGCTTATTACATATGTGTGCTGTATTTTTTATGAGTTTCCCCATTTCAGAATGATGGGAAATTGAATTTTTTGCAATTACACCCTAGAATTTGGCAGACCAGTTACATCCTCTAGTATATCAGTCATGGTGCCCAACCTTTGCAATATCATCCCTCTGGAGCTTAGATTGGCCTCGATCCTTCTTGCCTTCTGGAAGGTTTTGAAGACGTGGCTTTGCCACCCCTCTTAGGGACCCAACTGTGGTGTAGAGCTTGCTCAATGGCTGTACTGAATGTGAAGAATTGATTTACTCTGCTGCTGAATATGTTTGTGCATGTTTTTAATATGATTTTTAATATTTTTTTAAATAAGATTTTGTATGTTTGTTTTTTTTATTTGTACTTTGTTTATTGTGCTTGATGTTGTTTTTAATGGTTGCTAGCCACCCAGAGTCACATGTTTAAGGTGGGCTGCTGTATAAATTGAACAAACAAATAAACAATAAGAGTTCTTAGATCAAAAGATAATAAAGAGCCAGAATTAATATTTTTTATGTAAATCATTGCTACAAACCCATGAGTGCCCATGGGGGAAGGTGGGTCTAATGACAAAGTAGGCTTTATGCCACAAACTCTGACCCTTTTGAACTTGTATCACAACCTCATGCACAACAAAGTGGTGATGTCACAAGGCACATTTGTTCATTTTGACTAAATTTTAGTTTGTTACAGATACCTCTGTTACAACTTGCTAAAAAAAAAAAAGAATCCCATGTCATGATAGCTTTTTGAGTTCAAATGCCAAATATAGGCCATTCAACTAGCACAGTATCATAGTTTTTTTTACTGTTTAGCTTGCCAGCAAACAAGTTACCATGACATTACTCCTACTGGTCTTCCTGCAAGAAGGCCCCAGGAACAGAGAGTTTGGGTTTCTGTGTGTCAGAACAAGCAAGATCAAAGAATCCAAGAACGGATAATGGATTCTTTTTTCTGATGGTATGGCTGACTCATGGCTTGAGATATCCATAGCTTCAAAAGCCCCAACAGGGGTGTGCCGTACAAATTACCACTCACTCCCTAAGAACATACCCTGCTACATAGTCATTTCCATATATTCCCAAACAACCAATATCTGATGTTATTCTTTTATAGAAATTATGTTTTATGGTTAAGAACTATAGGTCTTGTTTATTCCAAAACTATCAACAACTTCAAGCAGTTTAATTTTTCCTCACCTACTCATCTTTCTTTACTGGAGCTTATGAGGACTATTCCTTCAAGTAGTAAAATGGAAAAAGCTCAAGGCAAAGTTGTATTCTCTCTAACATGGATCTAAATGTGATCTGGTGTGTGTTGAGGACACTGCTGTTCCAACCAAGTGTTCTCCTTTATCCCTCCTTTTATGTTTGCTTTCCAATGCATCTTCCTGTTTTGTGCCCTATACTGTAATGCCACAGAGATTTCTCTGACCCTTAGCAGTAGCTGTGTTCCTGTTACAATGTGTTTCATAATTTGATCAACATAACTTGAAATTAGAATCTAATTCTACATTAGTGATTGCATTCATACATCATTTAATGCCATGACTGGTTGATAAAGAAGAATCACTCTTGCAGAGGACCTCTTGCTGTATACTAGTGGAAGAAACCCCGTCTTTGAGAAGCCTTCTGAATTCTCACTCCCTTGTTCTGTTCCTGCTTTGGGGTCATGGCTTGATAGTTCCTGCTGCCACCACTTGCCTTCTAGTGGATGCCCCACATGGAATTCTCTCTCTAACCCCAGCAGGTGGGAGAGATAGGGTTCCTACAACCTGTGCTGATTTTCTAGCAAAATAAAACAAAAAAATGAAATAAATCCTATAGAGCCATTTCTTGGTCCTTTAGCACTGAGGCCTTTGGTTATGGAAATCAGCCATTCTTCTCCCCCTTTGGGAGACAGACTAAGCTCACAACAGCTAACTAAAATCAAGCTTTAAAGAAAAAGAAGAGGGAAAGCGTTAACATCACTTTAAACATTAAGTTTAAAGATTAAATGTATATGTTCTGGGTTGAAGAAAAAAAAATAGAGCTGTTCAAATTAATCATTAGAAGATGTTAAAGGGAAAAAAAACTACAAGGTTAAATCCACCAGAACATACCTGAAATATCAAGGCTGGTACACGGTATGATAAATGAAAGAACCTTAATGTATTGTTGAAGA